CCCCCCAATTCAAAGCAGCGGTTGGATCCAGGACACAGGAGGGCCAGGCTGAGCACAGCGTGGCCGCCACTCACAGGGAAGACATCGGGATCATCGTTGCACATCTGCAAGAATCGCTCCGGGCGGGCGGAGGAGTGCTCAGGACCCTGCGGGGACCAAGTCGGGGGGGAAAGTGTGAGCTGGGGACAAGGCTGGAGCGAGAAGCCAATGCCGGGCATGGCCGTGACATGAGCAGTGCTACCTGCCACTGCTGCCCTCAGCTCTGCTTCTGGTGCAGGCCAGGCAATGGGCACCCCTGGGTGCTCGCAAGCTCGGGGGGTCCTTACCATGCCCTCCATGCCATGGGGAAGCAGCAGGACGATGCCATTCTGCCTGACCCACTTGGCCTGCCCGGGACAGATGAACTGGTCGATTATGCACTGAGCAGTGTTGTGGAAGTCCCCGAACTGGGCTTCCCAAAGCACCAGGGCATTGGGGCTGGCCATGGCGAAGCCCAGCTCGAATCCTGAGGGATAGGAGAGAAGCAAGGTGGTTATCCTCTTACAGTGGCCTCACCCCTCCACAGGCGGCAGGCGCAGACCTCCTCGCTCACCGAGGACGCCGTACTCTGACAGAGAGCTGTTGCAGACAGTGTAAGGAGCCTGGTTGGGCCAGAGGTGGTTCATGGGGATACAGGTCCTCTTGTCCACGTTCTGATCGTGCAGGACATGGTGGCGATGGCTGAAAAAGGGAAAAGCATTACTCTATCGTCACCCTTCAGATCGCTTCTGGAAAGGCTGGAATCACTTTTACGGCACAGCTTTACCTGAATGTCCCCCTCTCAACGTCCTGGCCGCTCAGGCGGATGTGGATACCCTCTTTAAGCAGGGAGCCGAACGCCATGTACTCTGCCAGGGCCCAGTCCACCGTCCGGTTCTTCACCATCTCCCCACGGGTTTTCAGAATACGGCTCAAACCTGCCGGGATAGGAGCCAGTTCATAGCCGGCGCAGAAGAGAGCTCCAGTGACACCATGTTTGTCCCTCAACCTGCCCACAGACTGACAATACTGCAAATGCCTGGGGACAGACGAATGGATCCACCTCTACTCAAGGGATGAACCAGGGATAGGGAATCAGGACTGCAGGGAAGGATCAGCCCTGAAAAAGAACTACTCCTCGGTTCACTTCCCTTAACCACAGCTCTCTTGAGAACTAATTCTCATAGACTCACAGAGGTGTTTGGGTTGGAAGGGACCTTCAAAGATCATCTAAGTCCAACCCCCCTGCCATCAGCAGGGACACCTTCCACTAGACCAGATTGCTCAAAGCCCCTCCAACCTGACTTTGAACACTTCTAATGATGGGGAATCCACAGCTTCTCTGGGCCACCTCTGCCAGTGTCTCACCACCTTCACCATAAAACAGTTCTTCCTTATGTCCAATCTAAACTGACCCTCTTTCACCTTAAACCCCTTGCCCCTTCTCCTGTCACTACAGGCCCTGGTAAAGTGTCTCTCTGCACCTTTCTTGTCAGTCCCCTTTAAGTACTGAAAGGCCGAGTAAGGTCTCCCTGGAGCCTCCTCTTGTCCAGGCTGAACATGCCCAACTCTCTCAGCCTTTCTGCGCAGGAGAGCTGTTCCAGCCCCGGGATCATTTTCGTGGCCTCCTCTGGACCCGCTCTACAGGTCCATGTCTTTCTTGTGCTGGGGACCCCAGAGCTGGACGCAGTGCTCCAGGCAGGGTCTCAGGAGAATGGAGCGGAGGGGCAGAATCCCTTCCCTTGGCCACACATATCGAAGCACTCTAACATGTCCCTTGCTTCCAGGCTGCATTCCATACCTATCCCACATCTTCTCTGGAACAAATGCCCAATCTGGCATAGCTTCTGCAAGCTCCTACCTCCATGGATAGTGAAATCCTCCACTGGCACTGAGCTGGCCACTTGACCAATGTGCCTCAAGTCCTCTTCGTTCAGACCAGTGGAAGGGCAGGTCATGCTCCTGGGCTGGCCATCCAGAGTGAAGAAACCTGCAGGAAGAAGAGCAGTCCACCACGTTGCGGGAGCCACGCTCAGCTCCGTGTGAAGAGCTCAGGTCATAAACATCCTCAAGCAAGGGTGGGGATGCCACGAGTCAAGACCACCACCCCACCTCACCACCAGGGTGACTTACTAGAAAATAGCTGCTACGGCTCTAGAGAAGCTAGGCTCTTTGCTAGGGACCTCCAAAACATTGCTAGCGACTTACCAGGCCAGGGTGAATCCAGCCAGTGTTTGATGTGCAAGATCTTTTCATCCTTGGATCTTGCATGGGCCTCCTCACAGATCTTATCATACTTGGCAATTTCCTCCTGAAAGGCAAAACCAGGAGGTGGCAAAGCATTAGCGAGGGGTCTCCAAACAAGGGTGCCAAGCCTGTGGGTCTCGGCACAAGCTTGCAAGGGTGCTGGAGGGCACAGCTGGTGCCCACAGCAGGAGCACCCCAGGGCTGTGCAGCTCAGCCTTAGAAAGCAGAGCCGCAGCTCTGCTTTCTCAGAGCCTAAGGGACAGATCTGCTGCTGTCTGAACCAACAACTCGCATTCAACCCTAAAGATGCTGCAAAGTGGTATCGGAGCAAGGAAGAGCCGGCAGAGCTGCTGCCATGTTTGCTGCCAGGGTGGCAGAACTGGGGCAGGGGACCTGTACCACACAGCCCCAGGCCACAGCGAGCCCAAGTGCTGCAGAGTCCAAATCCCAGCCATGCCACAGTGGCCCAGCACCGTATGGCCTGTGCCGCACTGATCACAGGGCAATCCTTGAACTAGATGTTCCTGCGCTGTTTGGAGCTGGCACAGTCCAAGGATGAACCTCAGCTCCTAACCCATCGCTGCCAGGACTGCAGCGCTTGCCCAACTCTAGCACAGCTCTGCCACCTTTAGGTGACAAGCACAAGCAGAAATGGGCCCCATCACGTCATTCACACCCAGGTCTGAACCCAACAACTGGATTTCCCCAGAGATGCCACCTGCAGTTTTCCTCCCAGGCTCCAAGGGACAGTACCTCATACTCCAGCTGATTTACCACCCCCTGGGAAATCAGCAGTTCTGCGTATTTCTGCAGCACCGGCTTCTGTTTCCGGATCTGTTTGTACATCAGGGGTTGTGTGAACATGGGTTCGTCCATCTCATTGTGACCATTGCGCCTGTAACAAACCTGCCAGGAAGGGCAAAAGCCTTTGAAAACAGCTGCTTGCAAGCCAAGGCTCTGAAAGCAGTCGGAGACAACTGGGTCTCTGTGCTAGGAAGGGTCTGAAACAGCCCAGAAGGGACGCAAGTGTGTGTCCCCCAATGCCAGAGGCCAGGGCAGGCTCCATACAGAGACAGTGCCGCCTCTCCAAGAGCTATGACAGCCTCGTTGCCTTGCTTTACAGCACCTCCTCCCTCCCCTCACACCAGAAGGGCCAGACAAGCCCTGAAGAGAAACCTCAGCTTCCAGAAAATACACCGAGAGGCACCGGTGAGCATCCACAGCAGAGCCACAGCTTTAGGATAAAGCCTCATGCCACGTTTCTTACCAAATCCACCACCACATCCTTATGGAAGGTGCTTCGCCACTCTGCTGCCACATTGCACACATAGACGACAGCCTCTGGGTCGTCTGCGTTGACATGGAAAATGGGTGCATTCACCACGCGGGCAACATCAGTCGGGTACGGAGAGGAGCGGGCCATCCGGGGGTCTGTTGTGAAGCCAATCTGTAGTGGGTGAGAGGGAACAGGACGAGCACAGCGGTAAGGATTTCCAAAGTGGCACACGCAGCTTCAAGGGCAGCTCAGCTGCTGCAGCTGAGCCAGAGGTTCCTCCATGACTGCACCGCTCAGCCGTAGCACAACCTGCCCATCTCCTGCGCCCCCGGGCACTGCAGCCCATGCTGGTCTCTTCGTTTGGCTGTCGTCCCGCTGCACCCACAGGGATGGGCTGGTCCCAGTGAAATGTCTCAGGTTTACGTGGGGGCAGAAAGGCACAGCCCCATGTGATCTCGTATGCCAAGCATCAGGTTGCACCACCTCTGTGCCAGGCTGGACTCAAAAGCTGCTACTGTTGAGCAGCTGGGTATAAAAGTACCCCCTTGCTGACCCCAGGATTATGGCTCATTCCAGGAACATTGTCTGGGAAACAGCTACTGCCTGCCGCCAGCTACCATCCAGATCTGAGCCTGCAGGAGCTGGTCTGCAAGGGACACCAGGGACACAGTGGATTTGCTCCTCACCTGGTTGTTCACCACAACATGGACAGTGCCATGGGTGGTGTAGGAGGGCAGGTCACTCAAGTGGAAGGTCTCATACACGATGCCTTGCCCAGCAAAAGCGGCGTCTCCGTGCAGGAGGATGGACATCACCTGTGAGACATAAAGCCACAGTGGTCAGCAGGGGCTCTGTGGGGATGGCGGGCAGGGGCAGCTACCAGGAAAGGGCCTGAGTCTCATCCCCATAAGCCTTCGGCATCCCAGAAAGGACACGGAGCATCTCATCAATGCACCCGATGCTTTCTCAGGGGATCAGAGTGGAGCTGGCCATGGCTGGCACAACCACCAGCGAGAAGGCTGCAGCCACCAGCTCTCCCCCTGAGCAAGGGTGGCACACTGGGGGACCTTGATTGGGCAGCAGGATGGCAACCAGCACAGAATGTCTGGGAGGCGAGTCCCATTCCCAAACACACCGGTCCCAAAGCAAAGCCTTGTCCTCCACACTTTCACCCCAGAAGATCTTTGGGCAAGGAGCTGGGCTGGGAGCTCACTCCAGCTTCTGTGACGTTATTTTGCTATCGTACCCAGGGGCTGGCTGAGGACGCCGCCTGTCAGACAAGGACAGAGTCTGTCTATTTATATCCAGCCCTTGGGATGTAGGAGGAAGGGAAGCACTTTTGATCTCACCCTTCCACTTCTTGGTGTCAGAGACAGGTCTGCAATGAATCAGACTGCAAATAAACGCCCCCGCCATCCCGTTCCCCACCTACTCTCCCACCCAGGTGCAGAAAGCTGCATCCTGCTGCTGGCTCCAGCTTTCCCAGCCTCAGGAATGGTTATCCCTGGTCACGCTGAGATCCTTCAGCTTGAGCCTCCTACTGCTGAGCCCCCCAGGCTGTGATGCTTGGGCTGGCTTTTGGGAGCACCCCTCATTTCCCTGCTTTCCACCCAAGGGTTCGGGCATCTGCTGCTCTCCACAGCCCAGGTGAGTCAGTCATTCAGAGACGGAGGAAGCAGCAATGGGAGCCTGGGGTGGGCAAGTCCCTACCAAAATTATCCCCAAAGACAGCAGGGAAGGATGGGGGAAATCAGAGTGATAGCAGGGTGATGGCAAAGGAAGGGGCACGGCAAACAAAAACCAATTGGGTTTCTTCACTTTCTCACCAGCCTGCCTCCCACCAAACCCTGTCCAGCCCAGGCCACATCACTGCAGGCATCTCAGCACCACTCACCTTCTTCCCTTCCGTGTCCCCGCAGTAAAACTGCTCCGCTTTAGTCTTGCCTTGAACAACAGGATCAGCTGCCTCCAAGTGAGAAGGATTTGCCACCAAGGAAAGGGTGATGTTCCTGTCAGTGACACGGTTAATCCGCCGGTGATACATTCCCAGGTGGTACTTCACATCACCGGAGCCCTGATGGAGGGGAGAGGAGAGTCACCCCCAGGAACGTGAGCAGCTTTTGGGGCACAGAAGGAGACCTGAGGCAGGGCAGTACCGACCCCAGGGGCTGGAAAAAGGGTGCTCTTTCTGGAGGGACTGGCAGAAAGCAACAGGCACTCACTTTAAGAGCTGACCTGGCATTCAGCAGAGCAAAAGTAGCCTGTTCCAGGGGCCAAACCACCAACAAACCTCAGACACGCATCAAACCCATCTAGGTAAGGTCATAGGTGCAGGTGAAGAAGCAAGTGTGGTGGGTTTGGGGAATACAATGGAAAACAGAGCTGGGATAACGCTCACCCAAGCTCTGCACGCACTGTGGCAGTACAGCTGTCCCTGGCAGTGCTCACAATACGCTGCAGTTCCCAGTCAGGGCACCTCGACGCCCCAGGCTGCTGAGTTCTCACCTCGAAACCCCACCTGAAGGGCATGGCAGGTTAAAGCCAGCCCAGCCCAGCTTTCTGAAAGCCAAATCATCCCTGCTTATGATGCTGAAAGCTTTGGAGCACGATTGCATCACAGCGACAGAGCCTGCAGCACAGGCAATTCGAGCCTCAGGGCTTTTGGAGCTGCTTTAGGACCCCATATGGGGACCAGGGGCTGCTGCAAGGGTACAAGCCAACCTCTGCTGCTGGCTGCCTTCCTCTCACCTCATCGTTCACCCTACGGCTGCTTTACACCCAGGGAGAGCTGCTCACCACCCAGCCTGAGCTGGAGACACTGGCAGCAGCCAGGGCACACGTTCCCCCAGCCAGGACAGGCAAGGGGATACCAGCACTGGCACCAACACGAAGGCTTCAGTTGCATGAGCGTGCGTGTGATGGAGAAATCCTTGCGACACCAAAGCCACCAAGTGACACCACAAGCAGTGGAACAATCCAGCTCACTCTGCATGGCCACACCCTGCATGGGGGCCGCATGGGGACAGGCAACAGCAACCCGCTACAGGCAGAGGAGGAGACTCACCTCATCAGCAGCCTCCAGCTTGGAGTCGAACTGGCAGAAGATCTGCTCCAGCTCTTTCCTGATCACGTTGGCAAGAACATTCAGGCGTCCCCTGCAAAAACAAGACCGTTGTTGGCAATCAGCAGCGCCAGCCTGTCATCGAGTGCTGACAGTGACCTGCCTTCCCTCTCATCACACGGAAGCAGTGCGACAGCCTCGCACCTCTAGCGACAGCTGTAGGGTCACCCATGGAGGGGGTTCTCAGGGTTTCACCTGAGGAGACTGCAGACGCCTCAGCATAGGGATGGACCAGCTGCCGCCGCATCCCAGCAGCTGCCCCAGAGCGGGCAGGCCAAATCCTGCTCTGGGATTCAAGCTCTGCCGCTTGAGCCACCACGCCTCTCCAGATGAATTTACAAATGAGCTGAAGCTGAAAACACCACAATGAGCAGAGAGCAGCCACGGCCTGAGCTCTCCAGCTAAGGTTCACCACCAGCCAAGACCAGATAGGTGATGGCAGAAACCACTTTGCCCTCCAGTACCAAACCCTGGCAGCATTCCCCCTTCTCCACACTCCAAGCACCACTGTGCAGAGAGGCAGGATTACCTGTGGGGCATCCCCATGATAACATAATCCACTCCCTTCTCACTCGACTTATCAATAATGGTCTTTAAGGCTGGGATCAGCACTTCACAGCCCTCCAGACCAAAACGCTTCTCCGAAGACCATTTCCGATGGAGGAACTCCTCAAACCTGGAAGGCAAAGGGCGAGAGGTATCACTGCCAGGGCTACAGCTGAGGACAGAAACCAGAGCAAGGATTGGGACTGCACCGAGGGAGCCACAGGACCAAATGATGCTTAAGCAGCCATCACACAGCATCCCGGGAGCCTTCCCGGTCACCCTGGTCCCTTCCCGCAGAGCCTCGCTAGCTGCTCCCCCACCCCGACACTGTGCTGCACTTAAACCTTATTTTTAGACCTTTTCTTTCCTTTCAGGATCATCCATGTTTTTGGGCTCTTTGCCAGCACTTGAGCCTGCCAGTGTAGCAGCTTGCTGGCGTCACCCTGGTGATTAAACCAAGCGTGACAGATGACGTCAAGATGTGACTCAGGCAGTGACTGCGTCACTCCCAGCAAAGCACCCTGGGCAGCAAGGGAAGATAAGGGAAAGGTGAAGATCCCCCCGGGGGTACCTGGTAGAGCGGACCAGCCTGGCCAGCAGTGTGCGTTTCTCTTCGTTGGTGAACTGCATGATGCCCGGGGTCTCAAACTTCTGCCGGATCCACTGACACTGCTCCAGGTCATTGATAAACATGAACTCCACGCCGATGTGCTGGCAGTACGCCATCTGCCCCAATAGGAGAAGGGCCGTGAGACAACAGCCAGGGGACTCCTCACCCCCCAACAAAGGCAGGCCCGTGCGGCATCGTATTGGACCACAGGGCCAGGGACTCTTTCCTTCCCCCCTTTAACCTTTCAGCAAGACAAAGAGCCCTCCTGCACCAACAGAGACACAAACCCTCCTGCCTAGCAGCCACACCGCACTACCCAAACACTGGCAAGCACTGCCTGAACACGGGCAAGCGCTGCCTGGAGTGGCAGCCTGGGGAGACCCGTGAGCAGCACTCAGCAGCCAGCCCTATTTTGGGAGCCTGATTTGAGCTGTTTTCCTGGGAAAGGGGACACTGCAGGGAACGTTCCAGGATGCTGCAGGGCACCTCAGATCCTGCATATGACCCAGCATCAAAATGTTTAATTCCCTTTTCCTGAGGGACCCAGAATCAGACCCTCAAGTCCTTTACATACACCTCAGAGGCGAGATTTTCCCCTCTCGGTGGCATCAGCTATGACCAGGTCCACAACCCCACTTCATATGGCAGGGAGAGAATCAGCAAAACAACCTCCCCCAGCAAATAAAGAGCCCATTCTTGCAGCTTATCTAAGATGTTGATGCAGCTTTGCTTCTCCCAAGGTCAACCTGTCTCAGCAGAAATCATCTGAGCAAGCCTGCAGCTTGCCTGGGAGCCATCTGCACTCTGAGATCAGGCAGAGCAGGGTATGAAATTTGGCAGGAAAGGGGAACTGGCTGCAAGAGCTGGAAGCCCAGCCCCAGGTTGGAGCTGCTCCTGCACCGAGACCCTCCAAGGGACCACCACGCAGGGCAGCAGCACTGCGCAGGGGGGTATCATCTGCCTCCAGCCCACACTTGTGCTCTCTCAGCACCATTTGCTGCTTTTAAAGTGGAAAATATAGCTGGAGAGGTTTTCAAAAATGCAGTATTTAATTGCCTGGGGTTTGCTCCACCTTGGGTAGACCAAATGTGTTGCCCCAATACAGCGTGAAGCTGGAGGTGATCAGAGATGACCAGGTAACACGGGGCAGCTGCTACGAGTTGGGCAAGTGCCAAGGAGAAGCTCCCAACCTGAAAAGCTTAAAATCTGCAGGTTGGCCCAGGCTGTGGGCAGCAGCAGGGCCCAGGACCTCCAAAAACCAACTGCTCTGCCCCCACCCCAGGCTGTAAACAGGTCTTGCACAGCCCTCCCTGCCCTCCTCACCTCCAGCCGACGGATGATTTCCCGGAGTGGAAGAGCTGATTCATTTCCACCGATGAAAGTGGTTGTGGGCAAGTGGAAGACCTTGTCGAGGTCAGATTCATCCAGCCCGTAAAAGCCTGCAGGATTTTTCATGGGTAGGACAAGCGAAAGCAAGAGAGAGAAGGAAGGAAGAGGGATGGGGGGACACCATCACGCACGGACCGGGTGCATTTGGGAGAGGTGGGGAAGGGACAAAAAAAAAAGCAGCATAAAACCAAAAATAAGCATGAAGGAGGTTTATATGGATAAAAACAAAGCCGTAATTAAACAAAAAGACATTAAGCACAGAACAACAAGGTTACAAAAGGTAATGCAGGAAACGAAACACAAAGCAATATATATACGCATGTAAATCGGTAATTAAAATCCAGGGTAAGAGTCAGGAAGTTTGTAGCCCCAAGAACACCAATAATATACCACAAATTGAAACAGAGGGAAAAGAAACAGAGGAGTTACCGAGCACAACAGAGGTGTTGCCGCACAGTGGGAATTAAAAATGAGGAGTCAGCACGGAAAAGGAAACGGTTAAAACAGACAAACCCCAAAGAGGGAGAGAAAGAGAAGCAAGAAAGAGAAAATGGCATCAGGGCTCTGCGATGGACTCTCCTGAATAGCTCAGCCCGGGAGCAGTGCAGCCAGCAGCCCCTCGGGAGTTTTGCTGCCCAGATACCCCCTTGCCCAATTAACAGCCTTTTAATTAGGGATTTAGCCTAGCTCTGCTTGGCAAACCCCCTCCTTTTTGGTGCTAGTACCTTGTGGTTCGTAGGTGGCTCCTACTTACGGCACGCGGGGCTGCAGGGAGCTGGGTGTGCCTGGAGAAGGTGCCAAGCAGGGCTCGGAGCCAAACATCAGGTTTTAGAGCTGCCACTGCCATTGCAGCATTAGCAGGTCCCTGCCAGGGCCCACAGCAGCTCCACAGTACCCCAAAGCCATCGGAGGTGCCTCAGCACCCGCTGAAGCTCATGGTTGTCTTTGGGAAACTGAGGCACGGAGGAGAAGGGACAACGAACTGGCTGAACCAATGCAGCAAGGCAGAAGCAGAACTGGAGAGTCCCAAGACCCTTTTGAAGCAGAGGCTTGGCTGGAAAGGGAGTGGGTGAGCAGAGCTGCCCGCTCCCAACAGAACCAGGTTTCAAGGTGTTTTCTAACCCAGGGCAGGAGCCACAGAGGAGGCAGAGTTACCCCCGTGCCTCCCAGCTCCCTCCAAACCAGCCCAATGCCCCAGCTGGGATCTCTTTTAGGGAGGGTACAGGGGATGTCACCCCCTAAATACTGCAGGGCAGTGTAGCTCACCTTCTTCTGGGCAAAGGGAGGCAAAAATCGGCCCTTCCAGAGCTGGCCTTCCTTGAACTTAATCTTAAGAGTCTATCTCTCACACTCTGGTCAGGAATGGAGGATGAGCTGGAGACAGGGCTGGCCGCGGCTTGTCCTTGTGCAGCCTCAAAGACTGCGCTTGCCGAAGGCTGGGAATATCCACAGCAAGCCCGGAGCAGAGGTTTTCCTGGTTCCCACTGCCATCCATCCTCTCCCCTGCCCACATCACCCTCTTGGACGCTGCTAGTCCCCGGGGAAGGAATTACGCCAGACCCTGGGGAGCTCGGCTCCAGAGCTGTGCCTGGGAGCACTGAACCGCAGCTGGCAGGCACTGAAGGTTTGGTCCCGCATCTCCAGGACTTCTCTGTGGTTCCCATCCAAACAGAAGTCCCGGAGAGAGGTGACATTAGTACAGAGCATCCTAGTTAAGCTGCTGGCTGGAGGTTTTCAGGGAAGCTTCAGTAATTTGCTATGGCTCCCAGCCCCGTGACACAGGGCTTCGTTTTGCTCTGCCAGGACAGTTTCAAGACTCAGGCACACTTTGGGGGGTATCAGATTTTACAAGGAGTTTTCAGGGCTCTAAGCATCTCTGCTTCTGCTTTGCTGCAGCCTGCCAGCTTTTTTTGACAGTGCTGAGTATTTATAGGCAGCAATACCATCAGATGGGGGGGTAGGCTAGGGATGAGCTGCCAAACTTTCACTGGGACAAAACCAGGACAGAGTCAGGAGAAGACAGCTTGGATTTTTAGGAGACTCGAACCAATCAGGGAGATTGAAGCCTCGTAAAATTAATGCTCACAACAAAACATGTACTCTACCAAGCTAGGCATGCAAACACACAGTATGGAAACAGCCAGCTCTAAATTGGGGATCTCTACAGGTGAAGCATCACTAACCAAGCACCTACATTGAGACTTTTAGCGGGATAAATTAAAAATAAACATGTTACAAAACTCAAGAGTGGTGCAAGACAGGAGGGGACCACTTTACCAGCTTCATTCATGCCCAGAATAACCTATTCAAAGAGAGTCCTGCACTCCAGAGGGTTAAAGGCTCATTAATTGCATACCTCCTACTGTTAACACTCTCAGCCGCTCCTTGAACACTGCGAGATCTGGGGTGGGCAGGGGAGGGGGTGCAGAAAGGGAGAAGATAGAGAGACGCAGGCAAAGTTAGTAAAAAAAAAAAAAAAAAAAAAAAAAAAAAAAACAAACCCTGGAACTGTGAAAACTAGTCATGGAAAGCACAAGTCAAAAAAACCCCAGTATTTAAAATACAGTCAAAAACCATCAAAGGCAAAAGGATTGGGATGGAGGATGACTACACACTAGGCGGAAAAGAAATCCCAGTGGAAAGTCTGGCAAGAGGAGGGAGGAGCAGGGAGGGGAATGGGAGGCATCAGACACTGGGGAGCAGTTGAGCTGCATGGTTTGAGATCTCTCACGTGCATGCCTCGCATGGGAAAGGGAGACAGTTGGGCACAGCATCTTCACCTGCTACGACCAAAAGGCATCTTCCCATCAAGCTGCATCAAGGGGAGCATTATCCTCTGCAGAGCAGGGAGCTGCCTCCCACTGACATCTGCTCCCAGAGGGTTTTGCTCTCACTACCGGGAGGATTTCAAGGTCATCCCCAAGGAGGCACTGCTGCTGCCTACACACAGGCAGGAGAGGGATTGGGGTGTTAATGAGCAGGTTGTTAATGAGGAAGACCAACAGTGAGGCAGGCACACACAATTCTGTCATTTCTCCAGCATGCTCAGACGCTGTGCCGGATGCAGGCAGTGCTGCCGGAGCGGCGGGCAGCGTGCGTCACCAGAGCTGCGTTCCCCAGCTAGGTTAGGTGACCCGAGTGCCTCAATCTCACCTGGGTTACAAGAAAGTTTTGGAAACACTTCTCCTTTCGGTCAGCGGGGAAAAATCATACATTTAGGTGAGATGTTGGGTAAGCAAGGTCTCAACCTGGGGAAAGGGGAGGTGGCAGCACTCTCAGCCCATCTCCCCACAGGAGTTCGCCTGGCTTTTCTCGAGCTGGAAGACAACTCCTATCAATTCCCCTGGGCAACAGACGGGAGCAGCTGCCTTCCACAGAGACAGACAGACAGACAGATGTCAGACACACACCGCCTTCCATGCACCACCTGGACTTCAGTGTGCTAAAGTATTATTCCTTGGACAGGTCACATCAAGTTCTGCAGCCATCTTGTCCTTGTTTTACACCACTTACCATGCCAAATGAGCTGCAGCAGAAGACCAGGATGACATTACTTTAGTTTTTGAAAAGACAAGACAAGAGAAAGAGGAATTTGGTGGCTCCAGCGCCACCACTCATCAGACTGAGTACCCCCAGGCGGGCTTTCCTCCCCTGACATTTTCTCCAAAGCTCACACTGCTTAATCCAAAGACAGCTTCCAAATCAGACACAAACCAGTTGCTAAACAAAAAGCAATTGAGAAGAAAGATCAATTTCCGAGATTAACCATGCAACTCCTTTGAATCAAAGCACTGTCCAGCTACGGTTTAAGCTATTAGCAGCAAAGCTCGCACCACAAAAGCTGACCTTTAAGGATTTCACTGCTCAGAAAGAGGAAACAAGATTGTTTCCAAGTTTCAAAACGACTCCTGTTATTAACTGCTCTGTCAAGTGTAAAGAAATCCTCTTTCAAATCGAAAAAAAGCCAGCAGGATCTGCTTAGAAATTGGCTTTCTCTGCCACAAGCAGGCAACACCTGATCTTAGGCTCGGCCAGAGTTCTGCCCACACTCTGCACCAGCTCTGCTCTCCTCCCCTCTTGCTGAGCACTATTTGCCAGCTATGATCACAAAGTTGTATTTTAAGATCGACCAGATGAGGTTTTCCAGGATGAGGATACCAGGGGAAAGTCTACTTAGTATAAATAATACTTACAGCAAGATAATAAAGCTTCCTTTGATTAGTCACAGCCATTTGAGTCTGGGGTCCTACCACAGGACACAAACCCAGCACGAGCTAGCGGCTGATACCAGCACAGCTTGTTCCCTGGACTCGTTATTTCCTATGAATTCATGGATTCCTGGTAATTCAACACCAGGAACCACAATGACAGATATCTTAATACAAAAGCCACAAAGAAACAGAAATTTAACTTAATGCCTGGCTCAGACATGGAGATCGCGGGCTGACATTCCCTTCCAGCTGATGCCTACAGACCAGCCATGCCTGAACACTTTCCACCACAGTGAGCCAGGCTGAGTCACGCTGCTGGGCTCGTGACCGCGCACCCTGAGGGAGCAGGAAAAATGGAGTTTATACTGCATTACCCAAATTCTGTTACGGCTGTGATGATGCTGTCAGCCCAGTTCTGCAGTTGGAGCTCCACGGGAAGACCTGCTCTTGGATCGCTTTGGGCTCTTGGGATCTTCTTCCTCTGAAGCAAGGATGCTGCTAAAGCATACCTTGCTTCAGAGGAACCACATGGTGAAAGTAGAACAACTGATTTTCCCCAGTGAAGCAGAAGAGTTCAATGTCAAAGAGGAAACCAGGAAGGAGCAGTATCCCTCAAGGGTCCATATGGCAACCAATATGGTTTAATATTTTCATCAATGGCGTGAATAGTGGGATTGAGGGCACCCTCAGCCAGGCTGCAGGTGACACCAAGCTGAATGGTGCAGTTGATACATGGGAGGGAAGGAGTGCCATCCAGAGGGACCCGGAAAGGCTGGAGGAGTGGTCCTGTGTGAAGTTCATGAAGTTCAACAAGGCCAAGTGCAAGGGTCAGGGCTGCACAGACCGCAGGATGGATGTTGGTGGGGCAAAAATTGGACATGAGCTGACACTGTGCACTTGCAGCCCAGAAAGCCAAATGTATCCTGGGCTGCATCCAAAGAAGCACAGCCAGCAGGCTGAGGGAAGGGATTCTGCCCCTCCGCTCCATTCTCCTGAGACCCTGCCTGGAGCACTGCGTCCAGCTCTGGGGTCCCCAGCACAAGAAAGACGTGGACCTGTAGAGCGGGTCCAGAGGAGGCCACGAAAATGATCCCGGGGCTGGAACAGCTCTCCTGCGCAGAAAGGCTGAGAGAGTTGGGCATGTTCAGCCTGGACAAGAGGAGGCTCCAGGGAGACCTTACTCGGCCTTTCAGTACTTAAAGGGGACTGACAAGAAAGGTGCAGAGAGACACTTTACCAGGGCCTGTAGTGACAGGAGAAGGGGCAAGGGGTTTAAGGTGAAAGAGGGTCAGTTTAGATTGGACATAAGGAAGAACTGTTTTATGGTGAAGGTGGTGAGACACTGGCAGAGGTGGCCCAGAGAAGCTGTGGATTCCCCATCATTAGAAGTGTTCAAAGTCAGGTTGGAGGGGCTTTGAGCAATCTGGTCTAGTGGAAGGTGTCCCTGCTGATGGCAGGGGGGTTGGACTTAGATGATCTTTGAAGGTCCCTTCCAACCCAAACACCTCTGTGAACCTATGACTTACTGAGTGGTGTGGTAACTCTGCTCCCTTTTCTCATGAGGGAGAGCAGTCACTGCAACCACTTGAAGCCATCAGCTCTGAGTTTCATGCAGACTCTGCTCTCCTTCAAAAGGGAAACATGTCCACTAGGCTCACGGCTTCAGGGCTCTCTGCTGCTGCTCTCTGTCAAAAGGCATTAGCACCCACAGCAGAGGCCAAAACCCAGAGCTAGAAAAGGCTCTCCTCACCCTTTCCTCATTCCAGCCACTGAGAGTGACTTCAAAGTCACCTAAAAAAGTCTCCCTGCTCCCCTCGCAGGGCCCACCACAAGCACTTGTGTCCTCTCCTGCACCTGGACTCATAGCCATCATCTCCCCGCCTCTTCCCATCAAAACCTCCCAGGCACAGGGCTTGCTCCAACCCAGAGCCAGCTGCCTCCTGAGGCACAGCCAGGGCTTGGTCCTCCAGACAAGCATGTCAGAAGTCCAGACCTTGGGATGAAACGGATTCCCCATCACCCAGTGAGCTCGGACAACCAAAACCTAATCCTTCCCTGCCACTCCCAGCACGCGTAATCCTGTATGAAGGTCCAGCAGGTCCAGGGCTGGTGTCCCTGTGCTGGCAGCTGAACAAGGAATCAAGATCGTTTACATGCACCGTACGCTCTGATCAGCTGTTTCAGTTGTGCGAGGTTAGTAATCATTACTGCTGTTCTACTCTAAGTTAGAAGCATGCCTCTCGAGCGCTCATAGTGCCAGGGTAACAACCCTTGGAAAGCACCAGCAAGGTGAAAGAGCTCAGCGCTGCGACCTCGTTCTAGCTAGAAGAATGGCAGCATACTACGGAGATCAAATCTAAAGCACATTGAGAGGCGCTGAGTTTAAGCACTTTCATATTAGGATTTCAATTCCTAGGCACCACACACGCTTCTGTGCAACACTCATGCATTTTTCACTTGAAAGCATTGGGATTTCCACCTCTCTACTTGGATGGGAACACATCCCAAAGCTTCCTTGTTATGATCACCGACAGGGACTAATAGCTCATCCTTGGAAAAAAGTGGGCAATTAAGGGATTTACAGATGCTGTGGCAAGCTGGGAGCAAAGGAGGGCAGGGCATTGTTGCAGAGGTACGCCAAGAGGCGCTTCTCAGCCCCGCAGAGATGAAGCCAGCCCATTCCACCCAGCTCTCAGGGTCCCCAAGAGCAGCAAGAGGAGCTCAGGGAACAGACCTCCAGCTCACACCAACATGAAACCTCTCTGCTTTGCATTTCCAGAAGATTCTCCAATTGCTCTCCCCTGGATGAGCAAGTTCGATTACATAATTAACTGGCACCAGCTGGAGGAGAAACATGAGCCGAGCAATAGGGTTTTGGCACAAGACCCATTCGCCGTGACAGCCAGAGGGGGGCAGAACTGCTCCGCGGCAGCCAGTCGACTATAAATTTAGAGTGATCATTACTAAGGAAACTTAAGACCTTTCCCCCCTTACTGGTGAAGCAATCTACCTACAAAGCCGTGAAAGAGAGAGGAGCTCAAGCAATGCAGCACTAACTGCTCTCAAAGCCCTCACCCAGTTTGTCTGTGGATGTGATAATATCGGCTGGAAGGGAGGAGTCCAGATCTGCATCCAAGATGCCCAGTGGGTCGAGTTGTGCTACATGATGCCCTCGAATCTATGAAATGGGCCAGGAATGGAAAGGAGAACAGGTACCAAGAGGGAGAGGGAGAAAAACAAAAGAGGGGAGGGGTAAAAAAGTTAAATTACATTAGAATTAATTTGCAGAGTAATTCTCACCGACGTTTGGAGAAACAGTTACTGGTGCATCATCAAAATTTACACAACTAATGCCGAGAGGATCAAGCTTTGCAATGTGATGACCCCTGACCTGGAAGCAACAACACAGATTAGTCATTAAAACAAGTTAATTGAAGAGACAGTCCTTAAAAAAAAATAATAATAATAATAAAAAAAAACAGCAAAAAACCCAAGTTATGCACAGTTTCCCTCTTCACATTTTCTGCAGAGCCACCCCAATTTCTGGCTGCAGCTAAAGCCTGGAGAAGTTTGGTTTACTTTCAGCTACAGCATGTAGCTATGAGTGCCACCAGCTGCGAGGACTGCTCTGCTCTGCCTGAAGCCAGGCTTTGGCGGGGCAGGTAGGGGGAAGGTGATCCCCTTCACAGCAGATACCTTCCAGAATTGAGGTCCGAGGGCATTCCACCTGCTGTCCTACCTAAGCACCTCCTCTCTATGGATGCACTAACTCCATACCGACAGTTTCTTCTTAAGCATCATAGCAAATGAAGAGGCAATTTTCCACATTTTGGCAGATCTAGGTGCTCTCCTACCAACATAGTAGAGAAAACAAGCTTTGCCAACCAGCAGCAATAGCACCTGAAAGGCCAAAGAACTTGTCTGGGGAACATCTGCCTGTCTGTGCTATTGGAGGTCAGCAGCTCACAGCATCATTTTGCAAAGAGGAGCCTACAGCAGCACTTGGAGCACTCTTCTGGCAAGGGGCAGGTGCAGAAATACCAAAGAGCTTTGGCACCAAGAGAGCCTTGACGGTTCCCAGCAGCGGCAGTCAGGCCAGGAGTCACCACGCTGGGTTTGAATCTGCATCAGGAGCCACAGAGGTAATGAGTAGTTTTGCTTTTTGCCTTCACAGGAGGACCCCACCACATCTTGCTGGGCAAAGTCAATTCATCCCAGTGGCCAGCACTCTCCAATTGGCAAGCCACAGTTTATTTCTTCACAGCTCCTGCTCTCAAAGCTTCAGGCTCAGCTACGCTGGGAGCAGGGCAGGAAAGACTACTGCCATGGTACGGGGTGCGGTGCCTTCTTTACGCTATGAAAATGATACTCCCGGCCGTCAAATCTGTTGCCAGTTAGAAAAATCACTCATATACAAGGGGATTACTAAACCTCTTGTACAAACCAGACATACTGATCTGACCTTATTTACCAGAAAAGCATTCCTATTCAGAGTATCCCAAGGGAATCTTAGGAAGGGATTTTTGTGGTTTTACCAGCCAAGGAGCCTCAAATCAGGCATTGACGTTAAGGCAAACCGCTAAGAAAGCACTGATCCCCCTCCACGCTCTCTGCAGGGCCAGACAACAACGTGCCCGAGCACTGGTGGCCACACGGAAAGCTCTTCTTCTGGGCCAGCTTTGTCTGGGAACAGTTTGCTTGTCCGTCTTGCCACAAGGCAAAGGGGCTAGCCCATCATTTAGCAGTCAGCAGGACACAAGCTCACCATGCTGTTCCCAACAGCCAGGACACTCTCAGCGGGACCAGGAAGCCACTTTGTATGGCAAATGGCTTTGAGCTGAGGGCATCTGACAGCTTGAGGTCAACTCAGCAGTTTGCAGGTCCACAGCAAATCCCCAAGTCAGCATGGAAGCGAGGAGGTCTTTTCCCCCATAGGAGCAGTACGGCTTGTTATTGTCCATGTGCAACGCAAGCTGTTTTGGCTGTTGAGAGTGCTAGTGCATGGGATCCCTTGGGAAGCTGCCCTCAGAGGCAAAGGAGTGAATGAGAGCTGAGAGATATTTAAAGACATTTTTCTTGGGGCGCACGAGCTCTCAGTCCTGGCATGCAAGAAATCGGGCAGGTGAGGCAGGCAGCCAGCTTGGCTATGTCAAGACCTCAGCCAAACTCCAACACAAAACCAAAACGCATAGGCAGTGGAGGCAGGGATACATAGCCTGGGGAGATGATAGGGATAGAGCCTGGGAGTGCAGCAAGGGGATCAGGAAAGCCAAGGCACAGCTGGAGCTGAACTTGGCCAGGGGCACAAAAAATAACTAAAGGGGTTTCTCCAGGTACACAGGATGTAATCCCCTGATGAGCAAAATGGGAGACCTGGCTGCAGGCAACATGGAGAAGGTTGAGGTCTCAGCAACTTTTGTGCCTTGGTCTTCACCAGCAAGTACTCTAGCCGTGCCACCCAATTCACAGAATCTAAAGGCAGGGACAGGGACAATGAGGTAACACCCACCATAGAAGATCAGGTTCAAGACCATCTAAGGGACCTGAAGGTACACAAGTCCATTGGACCTGATGACACTCATCCGCAGATCCTGAGGGAACTGGTGGATGAAGTTGCCAAGCCACTATCCATCATATTTGAGAAGTTGTGGCAGTCTGGTGAAGTTCCCACTGACTGGAAAAGGGGAAACATAACCCCATTTTTTAAAAGGGAAAAAAGGAAGACCTAGAGAACTACAGGCTGGTCAGTCTCTGTGCCTGGCAAGATCATGGAGCAGATCCTCCTGGAAACTCTGCTAAGGTACCTGGAAAAGAGAGAGGTGGCTGGTGACAGCCAACATGGCTTCACTGAGGGCGAATCATGTCTGACAAATTTGGTGGCCTTCTATGAGGGGGTTACAGCATTGTAAGGAAAGAGAGACCGATGGCATCTACCTGGACTTGTCCAAAGCTGTCCCACACAACATCCTTGTCTCTAAATTGGAGAGACATGGATTTGATGGATGGACCACTCAGTGGATAAGGAACTTGGCTGGATGGCCACACTCAAGAGTTGTGGTCAATGGCTCAATGTCCAAGTGGCGTTCCTCAGAGGTCAGTACTGGGACTGGTGCTGTTTAACATCTTCCCCAGCAACATGGACAGTGGGATCAAGTGCGCCCTCAGCAAGTTTGCCAACAACACAAAGCTGTGTGGAGCAGTTGACACACTGGAGGGAAGGGATGCCATCCAGAGGAACCTGGACAAGCTTGAAAGGTGGGCCCATGCAAACCTCATGAAGTTCAACAAGGCCAAGTGCAAGGTCCTGCACGTGGGTTAAGGCAATGCCAAGCACAAATCCAGGCTAAGCATAGAATGGATTGAGAACAGCCCTGAGAAGGACTTGGGGGTGCTGGTGATGAGAAGCTCACCATGACCTGGAAATGTGCGCTGGCAGCCCAGAAAGCCAACCGCATCCCGGCCTGCATCCCCAGCAGCGTGGCCAGCAGGGCCAGGGGGAGATTGTGCCCCTCTGCTGCACTCTGCTCTGGGGAGACCCCACTACAGTGCTGCCTCCAGCTCGGGGGCTCCCAACAGCAGAAGGACATGGACCTGCTGGAGCACGTCCAAAGGAGGCCACAAAGATGCTGCAAGGGCTGGAGCCCCTCTGCTGGGAGGACAGGCTGTGAGAGTTGGGGGTGTTCAGCCTGGAGAAGGCTCCAGGGAGACCTTAGAGCCCCTTCCAGTCCCTAAAGGGGCTCCAGGAAAGCTGGGGAGGGACTCTTGGTCAGGGAGGGGAGCCATAGGATGAGGGGCAGCCCTTTTAAACTGGAAGAGGGGAGATTTGGATGAGATCTGAGGAAGAAATTGTTGCCTGTGAGGGTGGTGAGCCCCTGGCCCAGGTTGCCCCAAGAAGCTGTGGCTGCCCCATCCCTGGAGGTCTTCAAGGCCAGGTTGGACGGGGCTTGGAGCAACATGGGCTGGTGGGAGGTCTCCCCGCCCAGGGCAGGGGGTTGGAACAAGATGATCTTTAGCATTCTATGCTTCAAAAGCATTTTATGATTCAAAAAGAAATAATGACTTGGAGATGCAACCATGGCATTAGCGATGGCTTCTTAATTGTAGCCACAGCAGTGCAGGGCCACTGCTAACCTATAATTACAGGGACAATCCAGCTCAATCCAATTAAGCAAGTAATTGTCTGGTGTTTTAAGGAGGTTACCCATCACAGGCAAGGCTTCCTCCTGCCTTCCTACTCTTTTGTACCTCCATACACTGTGCTGAACTTCTCCACCTGGGCACGCCACTGCAGCTACAGCCCTACAGTGACACTGGGGTAGGAAGGGAGGTGGATTTCTCACTACACACAGCTTAAAAAAATACGCCTGAGAGCACTGAGCTCCCAGTGCTGCCATTCCAAAACTGAGGAAGTGACGGGAATGCAGAAGAGGTTGTGGATGTTGTGTTCAAATCGCTGACTTGGAGCTGCTGCCTCCAACTACATCAGTCACCACTTGTTTGAACTTGGCGTCTGCCTGCTTGTTCCACCAGCAAGAGCTGCACGGTCTTTAGAAACAGCTCACAAGGATCCACATGAGCTGGCTGGGTGGTCACCTCCCATGAAATCAGTAATGAGAGAAGATGCAAGTCCTCACAAACATGTCCCAGCTTCCTCTTCTTAAAGAAAAGCAGGGCAGTGCCCCAGCGTTGATGTTGACACCTTGCCTATAGAGGTAGGCAGGGCAGGGGCCTTCAAGCCAGAGAGCAGGGCCAAGGCTGGGCAGACCTTTGCACTTGCCCAGTGCTGCAGTTCTTGCCTTAACCTGTGGCCTTGTACATTGGATTTTCCCTGTATCTGAGCAGGAACACAACCTGCAGCGGCTGCTTCTTTGCAGGAATAGGGGAGAAGACTACACCTCCACAGCAGCTGGGTTTGTTAACTTCATATCACAGCCCAAATTAAAGCCCCCACACTTCAAAAACCAGAGTGCAACCAAAGGTGAAAGGATGACACAGATCTAGAAATACATTTAAATGTTCTCTTAAGTTAAAATATTGGCTGGACATCCCCTAGCCAGAGGATGTTTCCTTCCTTGTTTCTCCCAACAGGCTGACTTTGGCAGCACCAGTCTGAGTTGCAGCCCAGCAGCACCACAACCCTCTTCCTGATCACAAATTGCAAGGAAATGTTTCCTGAACTTTTATTTTAGGACCTCAGAAGTTCTCTCAGCAACATGGGGGAAACAGGATGGGTGTCCCACACCACTGCTGAGCGTGGCAGGAGCCCACAGCACAGAAGCATCATTCCAGCAACCAGCAAACCACCCCGCTTAGAGAAGACCTCCCCCTCCCTGCCACCATAATTGCTCTGTTTGGGTGACAATAGTTTTAATCTTCCTATTGTCCAGCAAAGCATCAGCTGAGCTTCTGCCCCAACAGATCAGCAGCTCCTGTTAAAAAACAGGCAGCCCAGCAGGCATCCTGTATGCTCTCCATGCAAAGCATGAGCAACAGCCACACTAACCCCAGCCCACCTCGGCCACTGCATGCCCCTCTACAGAGGATACACTCCTCCTTGGTGCAAAGCCCATCTCCTTACCTGATACGCCCTGATAAGAGATTGCACTGCAAGATGGTCCTCCACCAGTTTATCTACATTGGGCTGTGCTTGAACCAGGAACTGGGCTTGGGACAGTGTGGAAAGGCTGGTACTCAGTGGAGGGGGGCTTTGGTAAGCGGTGCCTGGAGCAGCTCCAGCATTGGCATTGCGAAAGAAGATGTCCCATGACTAGGAAAAGGGAAAGAAGAGAGGCAACAGGGTCATTACCCACCACCAAAACACCTCCTCACTCCAGCTTACTGGTGTGTCAGATCTATTGCCACAGGGGAGAGTAAAATCCCCCAGGGGCAGAGCTGCCCCCCTCCTCCCCCGCGCACCTCAGCCCCACACAGACACTGCCAAAGGCACCCACCTGCCTTGGACAGGAGAGCACTAAAGCTTTCCCACTGTTCCAGTTACACCACTATCCCACTTCCCATCCATACGGACCCGTTTCTTTTGGCATGAGACCGTTCCCAGAGCCCTCCCCCATCCCCTCAGCAGCAGCACTCAGGACAGGACACAGGTGACAGCCCTCACCCGGCTCGCCTCTCGAAACCACTACTCTGAGCAATGAGCCCCAGCCTGGTCTTCAGGCTCCTGTTTCCTTCTCTCCAGGGCAGGACACTACCCTCTAAATACCCACAATATTTCTTGAAAAATATTTTTGCCCTGTAATCAACCTCTTCCTCTTTTCCATGGTCTAAATGGCCTGAGACCCAAGCCCCAGTGTAAGCTGTGTTGTCCAGTCCTCAAACAGCAATGGCTTTTTTCTTTTTCTGTCCCTTCCAATTTTTCCCCATCCTTTCAGCAACACCAGCACTATGTGGATACTCCCATACCAGCTCTCCCATGCCCTTAGCGAGGGAGATATCACCTCTGCCCCTGTTCCCCTCTGTAGGTGGGCATTTCTAGGTGTTAAGAAAACAAAGGAAAAAAACCAAAAAGCACCCTTCGACAGACTTGGTGTAACTTTGCGGTACTTATCCAGCACTGCCTGAACAGACCAGAAGTGTCCCAGGCAAAAATGAAGTTAATCTGTCTACGTGGAGAAGCATCGACAGACTGGGGGAAGGGGAGAGACCAGCAGAGCTAAGTCCAGGCCACGTCCTCTCATCACACTCTCGCTCCTGCCCACTTTCCACGTGCCGCTGAATGATAGCAAAGGACAAGGGCAAGGTGGAGCAGCATCAGCCTGCCTGCACGTACCCAAGACACCAGCTAGAGCAAACAAATCCAATCAGATTCGCAGGCTGGTTTCAGCCCCAAGGGTCTCTCCACCAACCCAGCACTCAGCACCCTGCACGTCCCTAAACCTCATGTCTGCAGAAAGCAGCAAACCCAACCTTGGTGATGCAGAGATGGGTGAAGCGCTGGCCAAACCAAGTTGAAAAGAGCTGTGAAAGCAGCTCCAGTGGTAGTTTGGGGCAGAGAAAGCAGCTTTTGCACCCTAGTAGCAGGGTGGAGGGGACTGAAAACCTGACCTTTGCCAGAGGAGCACCAGGTCTCCCCTTTCCCTGGAGCTCCTCTGGCTGCAGCACCCATCACATGCCCCAGGAAGCTATTTCCAGCCCAGATTTACCCAGACACCCCATCACACGGCTGCACAAGGTGATTAAATTTAGAAACGGGTCACGCTGAAGGAACATAAATAAAATTTGGAACAATTTGGCACCATAACTGATAAACAATAGCTCCCCCAAAGAAAAAATGAAAAAAAAAAAGCAAAGACAGAAAACACCTGCCACTGTTCTGACTGTTGTCTGCTAAAGGAAATTTTAGCAGAAAAAGAGGGAGAGCTGCTTTTTGTACGATCCTTACTCCTGGCCACTGGTGAGAGCAGCCCAAGCCCGTTCCCCAGGCTCACAGAGCTCAGGGGTGCCCCAGAAGCCATCAGCTCCTGGGAGCAGGAAGAACAAGCATGCTGGGATGGGCTCTGCACCCTTGGGGAGGAACCTGGCTGGCCGCTTTGCTCAGTGACTTAAGGTTGTTTAATGTACAGGAAAACAAAGACAGGCAAGAAAAAGGGAGCATCTGCTAGAGCCAGGAGGAGGCTGGCAGTGGTGCTGGGGGACAGAGCCAGGAGGCAGAGGTGTTGCCTTTAAGACCTCCCCTCTTCTGACATTCAACACTATTAACCTCCTGGAGATGCAATTTGCTTCTGTTCTGAAAGAAAAAGTTAATTTTAATCTCTCCAAATAAGGTGTGGCACCAGCTGGGTCAGCTTAGGTACTTTCACTAAATGCTTTATTGCCCAACCTAATTACAGAGTATTTCAGGCTACCTGACTGCAGGCTTTGCCCCCAGTGAAGGCTGTGGCCCTGATAAGAGCTATAAAAACGTCAACTTTCAAGTTGCTGATATGGTTGATATGGTTTTGAATTCGAGGGTATTCAAGGGCTAGTCCAGGGGTTTCTGGTGACCCACAGAGGTGCTTCTGGAGCTCACATATCCCGTGGGAGAGGCTGAACAGCCTCATCAGCGTTATCCTGCTTTATTGCAGGAAGGAGGACTTTGCCTTAATCCAGCACTTGCTGAAGGTAACAGCAATAATAAAGCTCATCAGCTTATTCCCCTCTGGCCCTCTCCATGCCCACAGCAGCCCTTCGAGCCTTCCTCCAACTCTTATACCCTATATATAGAGATAGGGTATAATATATATATAGGGTATAAGAGAGGTCAGATTCACCTCATTTTTACCAAGAGGGCTCAAAGCCGGTATCTCCCCACTCTTCAGCACACAAGCAGCCCCCAGGTCTTGGCATGCTAAATGCTCCCAACCCTGGGTCCCTGCTGTGACTGTCCCACAGCTGTGCACCCCACCATGACCACAGCACAAGGCATTAGCCTGGAAAAGGTTTCCCGGTGCTCCTTTGCGCCACTTCTTGCGTGCCGGCCAAGCAGGATGGGAGAGGCAGCTGACTGCAGCAAGCCTGGATAGTTCAGGCTTTAGAGGGATTTTGAGCTCAGCTCTGAGAGCGGAGCTCACCACAGGCTTCTCTGCTGAGAACAGCCCCAAAACCAGCTCATCAACCGAAAACAGCATCTTTCACTTTGTTTATCAGACTCAGTTCCTGAAGAAAGCTGTGGGTCCCAGCCTCTGCCACAAAGCCGGCTCAGAGGTCAGGCACACACAGCAAGGGGACAGGGGTGATACCTCCCACCCACCGCAGGGCACCTCAAGTTGGGCTGGGGCTGCTCCAGGCTGGCAGGTGCACAAGGGAGACTCTGCCTCCACCTCCAGCTCAGGCTGCATCCCTGCTCCTTCTCCTGCCACAGGCTCCAGGGGACCGAAAGCACCAACCAGACCCGCTCCGCGCAGTCAGCAAGCCAGGCAGCACCTCCTGCTTTGGCAGGGAGAAGAGGAGGAACATTCAGAGCTTAAGGCTGGAAGAGGAGCCCAAACTAAACTTACAGCTGAGAGTAGGGAGTCAAGCAGCAATCGATCAGTTCATCCTCTGCACATCACCTTGTGCCTTATCAACATAAACAAGGACCTTCAATTCTCTGCAGTGTTTGCTTTTGAAGGTGGGGGATGAAACCCAAACACTTCTGACTCCCAAGCAAGACTCCTACCAAATTCAGACTGGGGTCCTATTTGCGAGCACGACTGCAAAGGATGCAGCAAAGGCATCTCTGGCCTTGCTGAAGGCTGCGCGCTCCTGCTGTCATGTCAGCGAAGCTGGGCTTACACAGCTGGTCTACACACGTTGTGGTCACAAAACTACTTTCAGTACAAAAATCAAAACACTGGCATATTAAGAAGTTCATGTTAAAGACTGATGTATATACATACGGGGACAGCAGTTCAACCTGAACACAGGGGCTGCGGTTTAGGAAGGCTAGACTTGTCATAGATGTATGACTGCAGATATCATCTACCTGCAGTCAAAGTTCTCCAGCTGCCTGCCCTGAAGCAAGCTTAAAATTGCATTTTTTCAAAAAAAAAAAAATTTCCCTACTCTAACCAAACACATACATACATTCTACAGTTCAAACCACCAGTGTCTCCACAGAGGAAGTGAATTGATTTTGCTCTGCTGGGACGGTCATGCAGCCTGGACATCTCATAGGTCTTCATCGACAACAGCAAAGAAAGCCCAGCTCTTCCCTGGCTGAAGGTCTCATCCTTGCCACCAAAAAGTAGCACAGTGAGGCACAGCCAGCCTCTGCTCTGTGCAAGGAACAGATAAGCTGCAGCTGGGTCCATGTGACCACCCAGCTTTTTTTGGGAACTCCACCTTCAGATCTGACCCTACGTCTAACAGGATGGAGGCCAACGCTTATCAGGAATGGGGGTGGCACACTCCACTGCTGCTTCAGCGTCACGCCAGAGGGGACACAGGCTGACGGGGACCGCTTGCAAGGCGAGACCAGGGAAGGCCACAACCCTGATCCCACTGCAGCGGCTTGGTGACCCAGCAGGGACAGGGTGAGCCATGAAAAAGTGCAGAGAGAAGAAAGGGGCAAAGCTAGTAGATTGGAATGGATCTTGGTCACTGGAATGAGGTGGGATCCACCCAGGAGAGATGAGTCAAGTGCGTCATCTGATTATGACCGTCAGGGACCAACAGCAAAGTCCATGCCAAACCTCAGATATCATTACATTACTAGCATCAGGTTTGCTTCCTGGCAATGATAAGACCCCATTTTATTTCACACTTATTTTCCTACTGCCACAAACCATCCCCAGCCACGCTTATGTTAACTCCCGCACCAATCACTAAGCACTTAGAAGTACTTAGAGGGACACTGATTTCCAGGGGTGACTGATACATGCTTGCAATTCTTCACCATTAACATCAGCCTGGGGGACTGGAGAGGCGGTGCAAGCTCCACCCTTGCAGGTGCTCAAAATCTGACTGCACAAGGCCCCAAGTGACCTGGTCTAGCCACGAAGCTGGATGTCACCTCCAACCTGGATGCCACCTCCAAGCTGGCCACACTGGGGCAGAGGCTCCTTCTGACCTAAATTCTCCCCCAATTTCTTCAGCTAAGCGTGCAGGAGGGCACTGCATGCACTGTCTACCTACAGATGAGCTGATGAAGCACCAGGGGCTACATTAAAGAGCAGACAAAACCAGAAGAGATCCAGAGGTCTGGTCTCAGGACCCAAACGCACTTCCCAGCCTGCTGCCCCCAGTAGTCTTGATGATTGATACTCTCACATCTGCTCATAGTGACATTCAAGACTGAGCAGGGTCTGTAGATCAAAAAGCTGGTATCAAACTGTGAAGACCCCTTGCCAAAGACATAACTGTGCCTGTCGCTGGGACAAATGTGGTGTAACACTCACTCATTTTCAAATTAGACTACAGCATTTACATTCATGGCTTTTAATTCAATATCCTGCCTCTGAAGGACTGGGTTGCACCATGCGCACATGCTTGGCTAGCTTTCAAGTCACTATTTGACAAAGGGCCCAACCCAAACCAACATACTTTGTGTTTTCCGAGTCTGTATTGCTTGGCTCAACTACCTGTTTGCCTCGAAAGAAGCGTAAAGTCAACATTGCTTCTGAAAATCTGGCTTTGATCTTACCATAAGACCTTTACAGCACCCTAGAGGCTGTGCGTTTTGGATGCATGGGATCAGTGCCATATGGAAAACACACACTCAACGCTGATGCATGTGTTGGGGCATGAGATTTCTTCCTCGCCCTTGACTGCTCAATTTAGCCATTGCGTCCTGGTTTGCAGACTGCTCATGTATTACTGAGTAAAGAAAATCCCTGCTCTACATCAGGACATGTATGAAACTGTCTTAAAAATCCTCTGGGTAACGCTGAGACTTAGTTACTAGAGGAACATTTTCCTTGTGAAACACTGGGGACGGAGAAAAAATGCAGGTGGGTTTCAGAAATCCTCTTCCCAGCTGACCCCTCACCTGCTGGACTCTACGTTAAAGACCCGGTCTTCTCCTCGCTGGAAGAGCTTCAGTAATTCAGATCAAGAGCTCTGTGCCTACTGCCCACAGCCAGGTCGATTTCCCAGTTTTAAGTTCAGGCACAGCTGGTGGGAATCCCTCTGGCCACCAGATGCAGTCCCCCTCCCCAGGCTGCAGATCAGCAGCCTGGCTTTATGCACACAAGCTCAGAGTCAAGCTTAGTTACGGCCTGTCTACCCCAACATGTAACACCACCCATGCCTGAAGCAAAAAGGAAACCAGTCAGGATGCTGAGAATATCCTCCCTGCCTCCCACCCCATCCTCCACTCCAGAACAATCCCTCCTGATAAGCCATTGGAGCTGGAAAATAAAAGCATCAAAAGCATCGTGAGCTCGTTAAAAGTGGACTCCCTGAAGAAGCCATTCTTTGTATCCGCTTGTGATCCAGGATGCTGCCCACGTCCCACAAGCCGACGTCCCACAAGCCGACGGCGTTCCCTTTTGAACAGAGAAGCTCCTCTTGGCTCTTGCTCAAGGAATCACTGACGTTTCTTTTGGGCAAAGCGAGGCAGAAGAACCATCCACAACCATCAAGCCCAACCAGCTGAATTCAATCCTCCTTCAGACACGTGCACTTACCTGAACCTCACTAATCAGACACACAGAGAGAGAAGCGAAGGTGGTATCCTGGTGAGGTTGCTCCTTACCTTATGTACACTTTTGGGATTTTCCAGCCAAGCATAATACATTTCTTCCACGTAGTTTGAACTAGTCCCACTCAAAAAAGGCTCAGCAGCCACTGGTGCGCTGTAGCACCTGATCTGTTGAAACGTCCTGGGTGCTGCCGGCCTGTGTTGGGAAATTGTCTTTACAGTCTGCGAGGCCGTCAACGGCCTCAGCTTTGCCGCACAAGTCCTTAAGTTAAGCATGTTTGTCCTGTCGCCTCACGCAAGCTCCTGTTGGGAGAGAAGGGAAAACCGGGTTAGAAATCACTGCAGGAGAGCACAGAGCAGAGACCACCCCCCTTCCATCCCGTGCGAGCACCAAGCACAGAGAACTGAGCTTAGGATCAGTTTTTAATTTGGATCAATCTGTCCACCTCGTTCCACAGCTGAGCCTCTGATGGCTGGGAAATGCAGTTTTTGCTCAAGACGCTCAGCATGGCCAGGTCTGCCTCCCCTGTCCCTGCCGGCACAGCAGCATCATCTCCCCTGACGCATCGGTGAAAAGCAGATTTGCTCAGTGGGGTACACAACGCTGGCCCTCAAACAAGCCACTGCACAGCCGCTGCACATCAAAGCCACCCACACCTTTTTATATCAGCACCTTTGTACAAAATAAGGCATGTTTGACAGTGAAATGCCACCTAGATTAACAGTATAAGGCATCAGGTTCCCCCAGTGCTTTCCTCTTTAGTTCCTAGCCAACAACATCTACTCCTTTTCCAATAAAAAAATCCATAAAGTATTCTTTGACTTCTTTTGATGTCTTAATTCTTCCTCTGAGAACCCTCTTTTTCTTTGTTTTAAACAGGAAAATCCTCTCTGTGAAACTCAGATTCCAGCAGGAGTTGGACGCTTTGGCCCTTCAACCTCCCATTTGTAGGGGTATCGTATGAGTTTGAAGAAAAGCACTTTAAAGCACAGTGCCCAGAAGGCTGCTGGAAAACACTTGTTACCAGCTGGATTTTAATGCTGAATATCACGTCTTCCTTCACATCAAGCCGACCGAGTCTAGCGGGGCGCACTCCTCCAGGTCTGTGAGAGCTGCAGAAGGACTGCTCTCATCACGCCGACCCAGCATGGAAGTTTTTTTTCTGTTGCTCTGTCTCCCAGGTAGACGGTCTTGGCTTTGATTTTTCTGTTACTCACCCTGCAACCACCCTGCTTGGCCGTGGTTTTCTTCTCGCCAGTTTGTGTTACGTGTTCCAGGACAAAGCTGGGAAGAAACCGTCTATGGGGAAGACCCCTCTCAAAGTAGAGGTACAGTGGTGCAAAGCACTTCGGGTGCGGGCTCCAGGACAGACCAATTCATCGCTTCTCCTTAAAAGTTCAGACCCAAGAAGGCCAACGCAATCGAAAGACCCATAAGGGGCTCTCCCCTGCCCAGAGAACCCAGAAAAGCAACCCCAAGCCAGTATGGGACCTCTTAGAGGTCCCCCAGCAACCTCCACCTCGCAGCTCCTAGTGGGGTGCAGGGAGGCCTGGAGTTAACCATGCTCCTAATTACACACATCCGACTAACAGTCGCAGCCCAAGGGAAAGTGCTGGAGCAAGATCATCCCAGGGGAAGCGCTGGCACTTGGAGCCAGCTCTTCTTGGAGCTGCCCTTTCCACCCAGTTCCTCCTGCAAGAGCGGGACCCAAGGCTGGAGGGGACCCAACTGGACTGTTTCCATATCCCCAACCGGTTTAACGAGCAGCAGCCCAATGTCAAAGCAGCTATCGTGCATTCACCAGATTAAAATGAAGTTTTGCAGCGGACTGGAGAAAAAAAATACACCTTCGTTACCGATGTTTCATCAGCTGGACTTCCAGATCTGCCTTGCTGAATCTAGTTCTGGCTACTCAGCACAGCAACAGCTATGCTTCCCACCACAAAACACAAGATTTTGGTCCAAATAGCCTGAGGAAGACCTGGGATCACTCTAATTCAGCCAAAGCATTTTACAGATTTCCCCAGGGAAAGAAGGGAGGACCACTCGTGCTTTGTTCACCCTGCTTGCTCACTTCTGCCTGCAATCAAACAGGTGAGAAATGGCAGGCAGGTGCAGGACAGTGAGTGTGGCAGCACTGGATGTTTCCCCAGCTTACCCTCCTAAAATTTAAGCAGCAAAACACATACAGATATTTCAGAGAGCCGACTGAACTGGGTGTCAGCGCACAGGCACGCACACGGCAGGAGAAAAAAAGCTTTAGGATGAAAGCGTTGGCGGTGTCTCCGGCATCGGGTGTCCGGTTTCGGTGCTGCCGCTCAGCAGCGTTCTGGTGACCTCTCTGAAAAACAGGGGTGTCAAGGCCAGGCTTTGCCCCAGAACGAGTGGATCCAGCCAGTCTTTGAGGGCGTCTTCCAGTGAGGGTTGGCTTCCTGAAGGCGCGGGAGCCGGTGGGGCAGCAGAGCCGGGAGCGGTGGGAGCAGGGCTGTTTCTGAGGTAAATCAAATCAGCAACGGGAGGGAAGCGAGCCCGGGATGGCCGGCGTGGGGTGACACGGGCACCCAGTGCTCAGGGAGGCGGTGACGGTTGAGGAGGGGCTCAGGAGAGGCGCCGTCTCGGACCGCGACCCAAATTTCACCCAAAGGTCAAATAGCAGGAATATTTACCACAGATTAACGGCTGCGGGGGGGG